AAACGCAAAATTGCGTGTGCGCCAACCCAGCAAGCAAACGGAAGAATTGGAAACGACAACGAACAATTCCAAACCAAGTCATCATATCCAAAAGCAGGAAAAAGTATTTCTATTGTGTTTCGCAAGATTATGGAACATATCACTGGACGAAGAACCTATGGCCGCTGTACAACCATTGTAGCAGTGTTGGGAAGTGGCATAAGGCAAATAAGGGACGGCAGGGATTGTTTAACAGAACCTGTAAAGTGAAATAAAGGACGAAATTATATATTCTGTAAGAATAAGTCCGATAAAAAGGACATAATGGCAGAAATAGTACAGATGGGAGAAGGGTCACGGATTCAGCCAACCATAAGGAGGCAAACGAGTTTATTTACATGCCTATCTCGAGGCTGGACGAAGCGAGTGGCGCGCAAGGATAAACTAGCGTGTCAAGTTTGCCACATCCACGTACACAACACCTGAAGACATTCGCTGATGACCAAGAGCACCAAGTAGGTCGTGGAGATGACTCCGGACGTAATAGCGCCAGTATTGAAATCGAAGGGGAATCGCAACAAGACCCGCACTGATACCCACACAGCAAGCGAACATGGCTATGCCAAGGCAGTGCCGTTCGACAAATCCTCCCCAGGCCTCACTCTCAAAATTTTATGGGAAGGCAGAGGATTGTCCGAATTTCGGGCAGTATATATGACTCGAGTTCACGATTGCGATGTGTTAGAAGTTATCAGAAAGATCATTCTTTCAAAAGACTGTCTTGAGGGTAGGGCCACGACCATTATCCAAGGGCTTTAGCCTCTACCAGAGAATCGTGAGCGGACGATAAAAACACTCCAGGAAACCTATTGCGACAACGCTATATAATACAAAAACTAGGCTCACTGAACCTAGCCCGCGATTCTGCAGATAGTTGTTCCGCCACGTATGACCAAACGAAGTCCTAGTGAGCCAAATGGTGTTCGCAGGAAATGTTCTCAGGAACACCTGCGATCCTATGTGGTGTATCTAAGCTCCCACGTGAGATAGTAAAACCTGTTTTTATAGCTAGCCAGGCTAAATCTAATCAGCCCATTAAAGACCTCTTATTGTTAGATCAGCTCAAAAAAGAGATTGCCGCCAAGCACTAGGTCGAAAATCGACTGAGCCATGGAATAGAACGTAGCAGTGGCAATGCATGTGACTCGCCTAGCCAACGGCATAGCACTCGACCTCAGTCCACCGAAGAATGTGCTCTACCATAGGTGTAATCATCTATCAGCGGCTTGCCAAACTGGTCACAGACCCGAGTACCCGTCGTAGAACTAAGGAGGGTGACCGCTGTTAGAAATGTTTTTCTATGAATCGGAAGAGTTTTGGCTGCCAAGCAGACTGCACTAGGTGTGATCAAAATCATCCACATCTCATTGTGCAACAAAAACGAACTAAATAATCCAATGGGACAGAGTAACTACCACAAACCAAATAATAGATATGCTAGGAAATAAAACAATACTCGAAATAGTTCTCAGAATAACATTTGAGGACAACAGCCTTTTAGGCTCCAGCGCGACCGGAAAATCATAGCAGTGGTCCAAAAAACAATAGCGCTTACCCGCACCAAGAAATTTTCAAATAACACCCTATGAGGGCGGAAAGTCAATGTAGTCTATCCGACATCTCACCTAGTCCTGATGACTGCTGAAGGAAATCTATGGAATTTCAAAAAAAACAGAGAGTTTCAGAAAGAACAATTTCACAACAGAAGTATGATGAGACCTATTTCTCTTAGATTCTGGCACGCAAAAAAACTACATTAGAACAAGAAAGAACAATCAGTTCACCTTCCCAGATGGACAACTGAAATCTGCACCATGTCCGGCATTGGGGGCCACGTTGAAAACTTCAAACGTCATATAGTAGTAGCCAGCTATTGTTTCTCTGACGACGATCCCATCCCTCATCATCGTCTCACAGTTGAGACGACGATCCCTTATAAACCGCCCCCTACCTGATACGGGGTCAAATCAGGTAGAGGCTTCTTTCTTCCTCTTTTCGTCCACCATAGATACACCTGGGTTGCGTTCACCATAGAGACACCAGCACAGCTAGCGGGAGTGTTCTGGCTCTGAGCTAGAACGCACCGGCACACCTGCTCCTTGGGGGCGGGCTAGAATAACTCAAGTTATATGCTTGGTCGGGGTAGCAGTCGGCGAGTTGTTTCTCTGTGCTATATGAATAAACTGTTTTTATCCATCCTTCTTGAACCACCAAAAAACAAAAGAGAACGGCTTCTCTCTCTCTATCAATAAAAGGCGATGCCCTTCCGCACTCACCACATATCCCACCAAATGTGCAAAAGGGAGATTCATATGAAGCACGCGGCCACGCCTTCCTCACCTCTGGGATATATACAAGGGCCGAGAAAGAAACTTTGCCCGAGGCACATATCAGTAAAGACGCAGCCTAAATAGACGTGGAATAGAATAGACTAAATAGACCAGTACCAGGACGGAAGATAACCAAGATGTTCCTCGATGAGCAGAAGCAGGCTCTTATCCATCACCGGCTCGACAACTGTGGTCCAAGATATCATCTTCCAGGAGCCAGTGAAGATGCTCGCCGTGCACACCGCCATCACTCGCTCGTCCGTTCGCCGGATTCGGAGAATCAAGGATTCAAATTGGTGTCTAAGGTCGGTCGAATTCTACTACCTTTCTCATCACCCCTTTTTAGATATGGGTACATAGCCTCAACGAAGTCCAGCAAGGCAATGTCTAGAGTGCTGCCAGAATCTCCTGCCGAAGCTCAGGAAGGAATTCGTGAAGAGGATCGTGTTCAGCGACGAAAAGCTCTTCATGGCCTCTCCTCCAAAGGATAGCAAGAACATCCGCATGTGGACCACGCTCAAGAAGAAGGAGCTCCGTCCTGGTGCTCTGCAGTCGCCAAGATCGACCAATCGGCGTAGGTTGATGGTACGGGTTGGAGTTTCCTGGAATAGGAAGACCGATATTGTCTCTGTGGACCCCGGATTGAAAGTGAAAGCTCACTGTTACATCAAATGGCTCGAGGAGGATATCCCGCTTTCATGCGTCGCCTGTACCGTCGTGAAACTTCGCACTGCAACAGGATTGGGCGCCAGCACATGGCTATCGAAACATTCCCAGCCCACTTGGAATCAAAGGGCGCTGAGTACCTGAAGAAGACGGAATATCCAAATGTCACCTGACCTAAATCATTTCGATTACCGGGCTGGGCAAAGCTCATATGCGGTGGGTTCTTAACAGTGGCAGAGAAATCAAACGACGTCGCCTGAACTCAGCGCCAGCGAATCACAGTTCGCGTGGCAGAATTTCTCCATAGGCTCGTCGTCCAACGGGCTGCGGCGCGAGTATCGTGTAGCAACTGTGTGTGTATATTTGATGGTGGAAATACCTTCAAGTCAGGTATAAAGTTTAACTCATTGTGCTCGAATATCGAGAGAATAGTATCTTTTGTTGCCCCCCCTGTACAGTAATCAGCGAATGTGCTTTTAAAAATCCTCAAAGAATGTCCCATTGTCAAAACACTTCCCCGCTTCCAGAGCAGGGCACATCATTGGTTGGGGATTTTAGTCGAGTAGTAGTACGACCCCCTCTCCTCTTTTTTCAGGGTTGTGGGCCCCCCCTCCCCCCCCCGCTCGGCCGCTCTGCCTCCTTCATTCGAATCAAGCCGTCGAGCAGGGGAAGGGTATATACACGCATGAAAAAGGAAAATCACGTAGGTCAATCACTACTCACACCACTCCTAGAAAGGCCAGAAAGTAAAATACAACCCCCCCCTCCTAACAATTAGAGCAAGTAAGACCCCTCCCCACTCCCCCTTCTACAACGTCCGTGCAGCGAGAAAAACCAACTATCAAAACAGATTTTTCTCGGCTCAAATACGACCCCCTCCCTCTCCTGGCGGCCAAATACGACAACCCTGCTGGGTATTCCGCAACAACGATGTGCGCTGTTCCAGAGCGTGGTTTATGGTGTTCGTTTGGCACGCATGCAGTGTGATTGCGTACTCTTGGAAAGGCCTTGTTTACGTTTCAATCACTTTTGTTTTTTCCTTGCATATTCGTCTACGAGCTCTTAATGAGACTAATGAGAGTTGCAGTAATCAACTGTGATATCACCATGAAGAGTAACTATATCCTGTAAGAGAGTAGTTATGTAAACATTATGTAAACAAACAAACAAACAAGCCTTGTGTGGTCTCTGGTTTGCTCGGCAGCGAACTATCTTTGCTTTTGCAGCTGTATTGGTGATCAGCGAAAATGTTTTTGTAAGAACGGTAAACGCGGATTCCGTAGAATATTTATTGTTCTGGATTCCTCAGACGATTTCGCTTGCGCCTTGGAGACATTTTTTGTTCCGATTCGTCAAATCCATTTCCATGCGAGTTCCTAGCTCTGTTACCAATGCGTTTTTTTATGCGATCTGGCCGATAAAAAGACTTCGCGACGTTTTAGGAAAAAGTAGGAGTAGATGGGAAGGAGTTCGACTCCCGTGAGCGAGCGACTTGGTCGATAGTAGGTTAACAGTGAACCAGAGAACGCTCACGTGACCGAAGTCGATGACCATCTACTGAGGCGAGATCTCCAGGAGTATCAAAACGCATACTCTCCTATTCCTTCTAGTCACCAGATTTATCCCTTTACTTTCTTTGACGCGCCTTTACGAGTTCGTTGAATCGCCATTTCTTCTCCCATGCTGCCGAGTCGCAAAGTACAAAACCGCGTTCAAACTTCGCGATTGGATCGCTCGAGCGATGGAGGGCGCACCTCCGCCAAGCGGTGCACCCTGCACGGCACAATTTGAATTGACACAGAACCATTTAGAACTGTGCTGTTGCTTCGATGCACTGTTTGGCGGTGGAACGCCCCGATCGTGGTTGCGTGATCCAGTCGCGAAGTCTGAACGCGGTTTGACCGCGTCCTGCTAATAGAATGGTTATAAAATTTTCATGACTTTTGTTCGAATCTAGGGAACAGAATGAACAGTTCAAGTCCAGCCAGAATGCTGGCAATCTATGGCGGCACGACATTTCTCGTCTACATCGAAACGAATGGTTTTGTAAAGGTAAGCACGTACCACATCCAGAAGATGGGGAGGGCTGGGCCGCGCAGCTCACTTGAACATGGCGCTGCTTGCGTTTTCTGTGATATTTTTCCATTTGAGGCGACTGTAGTGCTGTCTTGTGCTGGACCAGGGCATGATTACACTTGTCCCATAAAAGGGCCAGAAACACGGCCACCGCCACATTTGAGTGGAGCGCGCAGCCACGCCCACTCCATACTTGAGATATCACGGACCTAAAGAGCCGCACCTCCCATGCGTCAACCTTCAGAAACCAACTGAGAGTGATTTTTTAGAGATCAAAATTGTGATTTTCAGAGTTCACCGGCATTTCTTTTGAGTCTTACCAGTACTCGGTCTTTCCTTGCTCACCCTGACAACAAATATGAGTCCAGAGCAACGGTTCGAGACGGCAGCATCATTCGCTCTTCTTGGTATTTTTTTCATTTTCAATTTTGCGCAGGTTTATGAAGTAATCAGAGAATTTGTAGCTTTATCTCGATATCTGTTAGTTCAAACTTCTTGGACAATGATGATCATCGGGTACATCATGGTGTCCGTGGCAAACCTCACGTACTACTATTCCTTCAAGTAAGATCCTTTACTTGTTTATCTTTCGTCATTTTCAATTTGAAACCAATAATTTTTCGTCATTTTCAATTTGAAACCAATGATCGCTATTTCCGTTCGTTTGCACGGCCTGAAAGGAACTGGGTAAAGCCGTCCAGTAAAAGCCTGAAAACCTAATGTGGGAGGGGCAAAAAATGCCAGACTCGTTCCGCGAGCTGCTTTCAATCCCAGGCGCTAACGTAGTCTAGGGTGGGGCTGGGGTGCGCCACTACCCGACAGTCCCCACCCGACCTATTCCCCCTCCTCACCTCCCTTCATGAGCTTACGCTAGGCTCACGTCGTACTTTAGGGAGTCGAGCGAGGAGTCATGTGGTTGGTAGAAGGCATTAGAAGGCATACTAGCATATTATTGTCTTTGTTGTGAAAAATGTTTTCAGTTGTAAATTTTCACTTTTCTCATATTTTTTATTTATTTATTTATTCTGCGTCCACCGGACGCGCCAAGGTCATTCAATAATAGCAGGTCAGTAGGTGAAACACGTAGTATTGACTAAGGAAAAGATATAAATTAACAAACTCAGCTTAAACAGAGATTACAATATCGATATATTTGAAGTGCCTTTCCCATTCGGTGGCAATTTCTCAAAAAAAAATGCAAAACTCCCTTGAAAGACTTAAAGGTGCTTAAGGAGCGGTCCTTGGTGTGGGAGGATGGAGTGGCTGGGTCGCATTTCGCAAAAATTCTCTCCAACGGCAGGACGTGCCCTGCTTACGCCCAATGTAGGTCAGGTTCCCTTAGCGAGACTATCCCTTGGCGAGTCTCGTCGTCTGCGCTCCAAGCTTAAGCCTTGGTTAGAAGATTGAGCCAGAGGCGTGGTCAGTTGCACAGCCAGAGAGGATCCCATTCCCCATTCTCTCTGGCTTATCGTGTCGTATTCTCGCTTTCTTTGGGTTCATGGAAAGTGGGTGTCGTGGTTTGAAATGTATTACACGTTCTGCTCCAAGATGCCCCACCTAATTGGACTACCAAGCATTGTTGATCGATTGCATGGCTTCATTCAAGTTAGAAATCGGCGTTGGTCGCTCTGGGGGGGGGGGGGCGGCACGCACCTTCGCTTACTTGTTTTGCTAGTTCCTCTTGAATTAAATGTCTCATGTCGGCGACATCTGTATACCTTTGTCAAGTGTGACGAATTTCATGCTATTGCGTAGCTTGACAGAAATTTAGAAGTCTCCACCGGAGGCATCGGCAGTGATCGACGGAACCAGCAAGCTCCTCAAGCCAAACTGTGCGGGGAATTCTGTAGCTCAAAAAGAATTCCATTTTTTTAACGGAGTGAACACAAAACCACATTAGGGTCACTACTGGGAGAACTTCTCAACTAATTGATGTAATTCAGGTCGCAAATTCGCCTATGGTCTACAAAACTGACTGCAGCTGCAGGGACTATATCTTATGATAATGTTTTACTACTGTTTTGCTGATTTACTAATGTCAATACCCTCACTGGTGCTACTATTGACGTTTTTGTTGGCAACGTCATGTGTGACCGCGGTGGCTGCTGGATCAGTTTGTCAATATGGCCACGTCAGTGACTACGATTCCGACCAGGTATTTGATATCTTTGATCTGTTTTGTCACTAATTATTTTTCAATGGCTTTACTGAGGGACGTTGAAGCTGCGGAGGAGGTGTTTGGAGGGGGAAGGTAGCATGCTCCCTAACTTCGGTAGCCCCATCCCCAACATAGCGTGCCACATCGTGCACACATCTAGTCATAACCCCTGCAAACTGCAGGCCGGGTGAGGGGGCATGACTCGGAGCGGAGCCAGGAGTCCTCCGTCAGTTGTTGTGGACTCAGGATAGCATCATTGGTGGTAAAGGCTGCCTTGGCCACGCCTCTTTGTTTATAGGGATAATGGCTGTATCTCTTTTTCCACGTGAACAGCTTGGGCCCTACATGCTTGGGGAGGGGCCCTTGCGCAATTTTGCGTCACTGCCTAGCAACTTGCATAGCAGCATGTGGTTTTGAGGGAGCGAAAGGGGTCTTGGGTGAGCAGGCCATTTTGGACACGCCGATTTTCTCGCAAATGCACCCATACCAGTGCATCATGCTCCATTAGAAATTGCTGGCTACTATAGCCCTGACGCAGAATTACAGAATGGCTCTTCCCGAGGCACATAAGACGCGTTCATACAGTCCTCATCACTTGCGGACCGGTGGGGCGTGTCAGTGCGGCTGCGTTTGGCGCGGTGCCAAAGTCGTTCTGCACCAGTTGTTGAAGCGGGCAAGTGACATTACTGTATTATATCCTTCGTATTACTCGTTTTCTACCACTTTTTGTCGCATACGCGTTTCAACAAAAAGGCTGAGAACGGCTTCAACAGTGTGCACACTCATACTGGCTGACACGCCCCACCGGTCCGCAATGATGAGGACTGTACTTTTCCCGAGTGTTTCAAGCGGACGCCAACGGTTTAGCGTTGTGAGTGGCTTGGGAAGTGTAACTAAGGTGTTGAGTACGCCAACGCTTTCAGCGATTAGCATCGAAGATTCAAAGCTACCCGCAAAAACGCTTAAAAGGCTGGCGTACGCTCGAAACGCTCGAAACAGTGCCGTACAGTCAAAAGTCTGATGCGAAGTATGGGCGCAGCTTAACGCCAAGGCTTGTTCGTATGTTTGTACTGGTTCATTTTAGGCATCCTACATTCGCCTCATTGGAACTTTAGCCCAAATAGCTAGCAGTTCAATGTTCGTGATAAATATGTTCGGCGAAAGGACAGAAAGGGTACAAGTGTGGTCGAGGATTCTCTTCTATGGCGCGCAAGCGCTTCTGTTTCTAGCAAACGAGAGAACATTTTAATTTTTTTTTATTGAGAGCTAGCGTATTGTTATGTTGGACTTACTAGAGCAGAGCATTTAATGCTTATCAAACAGTTTTAAGAGTGGTTGGATGAAAAAGTATTTGTGATGGTCACTAGGCTCTACAATGGGTAAGATTTCCGGTGAGCTCCTCGTTATCATATTCTCTACATTTTATTAGCATTTAGACCCATTGTATTTTTAGTTGTATTAACTCTGCAGTATATTGGGTAATCACCATTTTCTATCACTAATTGTGCTAGGCTGTGTTCAGACTTCGCGATAAAGCGCCAACGCGCAATAGCATTCCAGTGCCATAGACGGAAGCCATGGACAGGTATCGTTAGGTGCCGGTCGTTTATGTTTTGGAGAGGATAGTCCCGGTTGGTCACGCGCACGTTGCATAGCGTCGACGCGAGTCATCGCGAAGTCTGAACACAGTTTCAGGTGGCGGTCTTTGTTAGGAAGTTTGTTGGAAGCAAGGGACAGGGACACGTGTCGGATTCGTCTCCTCTCAAAATTTCCTCCTCTGGTATTCCCCCTCCTCCTTCCTCCCCTCCTTTTCCCATCAACATCCTACCCACCATATTCCTGAACTCTCCTTCTCTCCTACCATTTTCCGGAGTTTCCCCAAGATTTCTCCACTTTTTCCCAAAAAAAGCCGTAGCTGGGGTTCTTCAGCGTACAAGGTAGCATTCATAGGTTGCAACAGCTGTCAATGGGTGTCAGGCTACCTTCGTGCTCTAGCGCAGCAGAGCACCAGCATGTAGTGGGAGATGTTTTGCGTCAGCCCATTACGACCCCCCCCTTTTTTTGGAGTTGGTACGACCTCCCCCCTTAAGCCCTGCGAACCCCCCGCCCTTCAGCCTCTGTCGCTTCCCGGCATCGAAATCGAGGCCATGTCGAGCAGGGGGGGGGGAGCACATATAGTACGTGAAACAGGAAAGTCACCAAAGGTCAACCGCCACTCCCACAACGCCAAAACGTACGTAAATACGACCCCCCTCCCTTTACAACGTCCATGAAGCGAGAAAAGTCAACTATCAAAATGAATTTTTCCACCAAACACGACCCCCCTCCCCTCCTGGCGACCAAATACGACCCCCTATTGGGGATTCTCCAACAACGATGTGCCCTGCCCTAGCGCGGTAATCTATGGACCGAACCAAGGAGTGATTCAGCAGTTGGCAATTATTTAGCCTCTTTCTCTTATCGCTGTAGGAATTAGTTGTGATCTTCGATCGCTCGATTAGGAGCAGCCCAAGTTATGCCGAGCCAACTAAATTGAATATGAAATTCGGCTTTCCAACTCGGCTTTTGCAATTAATAGCTGGAGCCGTTCATTGTATGAGCATAGGAACGTGTAGCGTGCGCGGCGAAAATGCGCCGCAGTTGGTCTGGCTGCGCATCGCCCCCATACATTCGTGTGTTATTTCGTCCTGGCTTACGGTCAACTTCAAGTCTACTCTTCTACGCTGACAACTGCGTACCTGTGCGATTCTCTTGCCAGTTGTCTTTCTCTACTTTCCCCAAAAATTCCAGTTTTTCCCCAAAAAGGTGTCGGAGAGGGGGAGGAAGGTCGTCACAATCAAGTTCCCTACTTGAACAATTAGAAATAGTAGTTGTATAGTAATTCTTCGACTTGAAGGCTGTAGCGGACCCGCCACCGTCACTGGGTTACTATTCGTCCCTTGCGCTTTTCGATGTTGGAGGCCGCTGTCCGCCTATTCCCCTTTTGCACCTGTACTGTCGTGCAGCGATTATGGCTGGTATTCAAGCACTGGTGTACGTTTCATATACACATGCGGCACCCCATTCCTTAGTTTGCGGACCTCCGTTGTCGGCCACTTTACGTGACGAGCAACTGACTGCCGGTAAACTCGTCCTTTTGCAGCCATTCTTAAAATGACACGATTTATGTTAGTTTATTCGAACTAAGTCATTCACCAGAGCTTAGCTGTTCATGATTTTTAGATTGTTCATATGTTGCTAGTACGAAGTAAATAAAAATTGTAAGTTATTGTGATAGCACATTGCTAATCAGCCGGTACAGGTGAGTGATGCCAAGGAGCGCCAGATTAAAAGACAAACGTACGTCCTTGCAATGTGCAAGAGGGAATGGGTGTTGCAGGCAGCAGTTATTCGTGCCACTTTCTTTGCGTCACAAGGTGCACGGAATTGGGCTGAAGGATACTTATGTACCGGGTGCCGTCTCCCCATAAACCCGCTGCGCTGCCGGCCGAAACGCATAAGCCAGAACGGCGCCTACTTTCTCTGTGCCGCAACTGGCCTGTTCCTTTGTCTTTTACTGCTGAAGCACTTGTTTCGCTGCGACCTTTTGTGTCGGCGCCAATTTTGCTCTGGAGCGGGTAGCGCGAGCAGATTAATGGAAAATGGCCAGCTCGGAAACACAAACTCTCCCAACGCCGCGGAATTTTTAGGCGAAGGACGTGGATGATACTGTCGTTGCGGGAACAGCAAGTCGCCTTGCCAAGGCATAACGAAGACGACGGGTCTTCCTAAAGACAGGGATGTCAGTCAATTTACCACGGAACTTTGAATGGAGACCTGGGTAGATTCGGTAGAGTATGTAAGGTTACTTACAAATATAGATAGCAAACTGCAACCTGCATTTCACAAGCAACTTATGAGCAGGTAAAGTTTGTAATGGTGCAGTAGGGTGGAGGCTTGGTGGTGAGCTGTGAAGCATAAGCGATGACGTCGAATCGAATCGTGGTGGTTCGGTGATAGTTTCGGACGTTTCGAACTCGTTTCGACATATGTCGATTACCTCGTCTATCACACTGCTCAGCCCACAAGCCTGCACCCTACTGCACCATTAACAAACCCTTTACCTGCGTTGGTTGTGATGAAGCTTGCAATTTTGCTATTTATATTTTAAATAACCCTCATACTCTATCGAGTCTATCCAGCGTCACCATGCCAAGTCCATGGTAAGTTGTGGAGTTTCTGCGTAAGCCGAAAATACAGAGTATACAGGAAAGCCAGATAAGGAAATCGAAGAGAGCGCCAAAACTTCACAGAAAATGGGAGCCTGTGACGACAAAGTTTGAGGGCTGTTGATGGTTGACAGAGAAAGGTTTCTCATTGCTCTGCTTGGAAACGTTATGAATCATCGCGGAAACATTCAACCGCGTTGTGGGCAAGTGTTGACAGAAGAACAAACAGAGAGCACGGTCATAAGAAGGGCTTGACACCATGCCCCGAACTAGCCCCCCCCCCCTCGTATGATGACTTACCAGGACTAGACAAAAGCGACTAGCATTGTTGTTAATAATCATTAAAGATAGAGACACGAGGCGCTTACCTCCGAAAATTGTGACCAGGGCACGTACTGCCGCTGGAGAAAATTCTACAAGACTATAAGTTCAGGTTGTCAGGCTGCGTACAGTACTTCCGAAAATTGCACGTGAAGTCAAAAATGTTGCGGTCGTGAACGCACACAATCCGGCGCACCGTAATCGGCGAGGAGGCACGCGAGCGTGGGTGTAATTCCGGGGTAGGCGACGGCCGCCCGACGTCCGCAAGGTACCGCTCGCTCGCGCGGTCAGGTTACAGTAGTCTGCAAAGAGTCTG